TAGCGGCAGCCGTAGTCGTAGTGGTACTTCCCCCACATGATTGATGGAGTCCTTGTTTTTCCACCCGCGTCCCACCCGCGATTCTCCTCACTCCCTCTCGTCCTCCCCTCCTGCCGCGTTGCACCCGCGTCTTCTCTCCTGCCACATCCTCGAGAATCTTGGGAACCAGAAAAAAAAACACACACACACACAGGAATTTCACACAAAGGGTTTTGGCACCGCCAGCGGTGCAACGCATGTGCACCCATGCCACTGGATCCCCGGCGACCTGAACCAGGGTTGATGCACGGCCGTGCTCTAAGATGCAGCTGGAAGGTATGGTGTGGCAGCGCTGTCGGCGGCGACAAGATCACAATCTACGCTATGAACAGACATTATATGGTGGTTTGGCACAGCCAAACAGGCATGTAACGTCAATTTGTTCATCCGTTGACAACAGCACGCGTCGCGGCAGCAAACCGCAATAGCGCGCGCGGGCATGCAGGGCCGGCGATGTGGCTGGCCAGCTGCCAGCGCGATTTCGGCATAAATGCAAAAATCCACGTAAGATCGTTGTGGGCGTGGTATCCCGCTGCTGCATCGCACTGCCAGGCGCCGTGGCCTTGCGTTTGTAGCGCCAGACTCCGCGCGCTCCTCGAGGCGGGAAAACAAACTCTACACAAACGAACCGTGTGTGCTCTTGTGGGGCCGGCGAAAGCGATCGTAATCGTACACAAAGGAAATTAATTCCTTTGCGCGCCCCCCGCTTTGGCAATGTAGCCAAACCGCACACAAAGGAATTACACGACAACTTCGTGACACACAAAGAAATTACAGCAACGCCGTTTGGGTTGCGCTTTTCGCGCGCGGCGACAGATCCGAGCTGGAAAGGAAGGGGGGGCGGGACCAGGCAAAGCAGGGGAAGAGGAAAAGGAAGAGGAGGGCGAGAAAGAAACGAAGGAAGCTACGGAAGGAAGCCAGGATGCGCGCAAGCGAAGCTAACACTGCGCGCCGAGACAGTTATTCGGTTGTTCGGTTGGCCGTGCGGCATATGAACCGAAAAAGAATTGCTTGCTGCCTCTCAAGAAGACTTCTTGGGAAGGAGACTCGCGTTCTCTTCCCAACCCCTTTTCCCACACCCCGTTGCGAGCGCGCGACGATATGTTCTGGCACGCGGGCAGAGGACTGCCAGTTACTGGCGAGCGGCGTTTCCACCCGTCACGCGTTCCAAACACATGCGGCCAGCTAAACGCACTTGCCGCGCAAACCGCCAGCCCCAAACACCGACGCCACTCCGATCCCTGCATCCGTGCCAGGTACCTTCTCAACCACGCCCCCTTCCGGCGTAAAACCAATAAAACCCTTTGTGTTTATGTGTTTGTTCCTGTTCTGAAATCTGGGCTCCAGGACGCCGCGCGCGAGGTAGTCCAGGCAGTTTCGCTTGAGACATCCTCGGAACTCTAAGCCCCGAGATGGCGTGCGAGAGGTGGTCGGGGCCATTTCGCCGGGGACATCCTCGAAAATCTGGGTTCCGGGATGCCGCGCGCGAGGTGGTCCGGGCCGTTTCGCCTGAGACATCCCCGAAATCTTGAGCCCCGAGATGCCGCGCGCGAGGTGGTCTGGCCTGCTTCGCTTGAGACATCCTTGCAAGTCTGGCCTCCGGGACGCCCCGCGCGAGGTGGTCTGGCCCGTTTCGCCTAAAACATACTCGCAACTTGGGGTTCCGAGATGCCGCGCGCGAGGTGGTCCGGCCCGTTTCGGCAGGGACATCTTCGCGACTCTGCGCTCCGAGCTGCCGCGCGCGAGGTGGTCCAGCGCGTTTCTCTTGAGACATCTCCGCAACTCTGAGCTCCGAGCTGCCGCGCGAGAGGGTGTCCGGAGCATTTCGCTCGGAACGTCCTGACCCCGGTCAGCTCCGCGATGCTGCGCGAGAGGTGGTCCAGCTCGTTTCGACTGGGACATCCTTTCAACTCTGAGCTCTGAAGAAATGTGCGCCAAGGTGTGTGTGTGTGGCCCGTTTCGCTGGAAATATCTTGCAGCTCGGGGCTCCGAGATGCTGCGGGCGAGTTGCCCTTGCCCGTTTCGCTCGAGACACCTTCGAAACTATGGGATCAGAGAGGGAAGAGAAAGGAGGGAGGAGGGGTCAGAGCCAAACGAACCAGTTGGCTACACTTCTGTTGCCGGAGTGTGCTCTGGGAGGGGTCTGGGCGTCGCCTGGGACATCCTCGGAACTCTGAACTCCCAGATGTCGCACGCGAGGTGTTCCAGCCCGTTTCGCCAAACGCATCCTCGCAACTCGGGGCTCCCATCCTCGAAACTCGGGGCTCCGAGAAGAAGGATGAGTCAGACCCAAACGAATCATGCGATGACGCATCTGTTGTCGAATTGTGCTCTGGGAAGGGTTTGGGCGCCGCCCGAGATATCCTCGGAACTCTGGACTCCCAGATGTCTCACGCGAGGTGGTCCAGCCAGTCTCGCCTGAAACATCCTCGCAATTCGAGGTTCCAAAGTGCTGCGCACGAGATGGTCTGGCGCGATTCGCCTGAAACATCCTCGCAACTGTGGGCTCCGTGAATACGCGCGCGGCGTGGACCAGCTCGTTTCGCCTGAGACATCCTCGCAACGGTGGGCTCCCATAACATCTGCGCGACATGGTGTGTCGCGTTTCTCTTCAGATATCCTCGCAACTGGGCTCCGGGATGCCGCGCCTGGTCCGCCCCGTTTAAAAAATCCTTGGGATTCTGGGCTCCGAGAGGGAGGAGAAAGAAGGGAAGAGGGGCCAGACCCAAACGAACTACAGTCAAAACGTATATTAAGGACGGGTGATAAGGACGCAAGACCCTTGGAGGCCGAAGTTGGGTTTTTCAGGGCGGCGGGCGACCAGCGAGAATGGCAAGGACGAGCCTCAGAGGCAAGGGCACAGTGGCACCCTAGATGAAGGCGCGCGTCCTTACTAGGCGCGTTGACTGTATTGGATTCCGCGTCCGTTGTCGAGTTGTGCTCTGGGAGAGGTCTGCGCGCCCCTGGCCCGACGGAGGAGGTGGCTGGCGCCGAGGCGCGAGCACGATTCCTTGTTACATTGCAGGGGCTGGCCAGGGGAGGGGGGGCCATGCTGGAGCAAACCGTGGCGATGCCTCAGCTGGAGCGCGGCGGGCAAGGAGGAGAAGGAAAAGGCAGGATGAGGGAGGAGAGAGGGAGGAGGAAAGATCTCCGAGATGTTGCGCGAGAAGGCTACCGGAGGAGGGGAACGGGACGAGGCTCAAACGCTACCTGTTTGAGGGCATCCCTGTCGAGGGTGCCTCCTGGAATTTGGCACTGAGGGTGCGAAGGCATTCCTGGCATGCCAGAAGACGCGGAGAAGAGGAGGGAAGAGGAGTAAGAGGAGGAGGAGGAGGAGGAGGAGGAGGAGGAGGAGGAGGAGGAGGAGGACGAGGAGAAGGAAAAGGAGGAGGACGAGGAGGAAGAGGAGGAGGACCAGTGGAAACCAAAGAGTCATCAACGATGTTGGAATTAACTCTCCCTCCAAGCTCCCTTTTCATAGGCCCCTACAACGGTTCATTTCCATTGAGAGAACTGCCTCGCTGGAAGAAAGATCCTGAAGCGTGCCAAAACATTGTTCTCGGGATTTCATCGCCACGTATCAACCTGACTGCTGCGTCTTGATTGACGATCCAGAATCGTTCCAGAACGCCGTTGTTGGGACTTCAGCACGGCGAATCAACATAACTATTGCGCCCGCATAATCCTGAATCCTTCCACAACGCCGTTCCTGGCACGTTGATAACGGGAATCCGTGAAACTCTTGCTAAGTTAAAAAACGAATGTGCGCAACGCTAATGCGAGAACCACATTTTGAAAAGGAGCCGCCCTGAATCCGTGAAGCTCTTGCAAATGTTTGAGTGCGCGGCGCTAAGGCGAGAGCCGCATTTTGAAAACGGCCCGCCCTCAATCCGTGAAGCCCTTGCAACGTTTAAAGAGAATGTGCGCGGCGCTAAGGCGGGAACCACATTTTGAAAACGACCAGCCCTCAGTCCGTGAAGCTCTTGCAAATTTGTCCAACGAACGTGCGCGGCGCTAAAGCGAGAACCGCATTTTGAAAACGGCCCGCTTTCAATACGTGAAACTCTTGTAACTTGTTAAAACGAACGTGCGCGGCGCTATGGCGAGAGCCACATGTTGAAAACCACCCGCCCTCAATCCATGAAGCTCTTGCAAGTGTTTTAAGCGAGTGCGCGCGGCGCCAAGGCGAGAGTCACATATGATATGTGAAACTACTGTCACTTCTTACGCTTCAGAAGCATACGTGGTGAAGAAATCTCAGGCGAAACGCCCGGCCCGCCCAGAAAACTGGCCCCGGGGTGCGACAGGGAAAGTTAATGTATAAGGAGACGGGATGGAACAGGATATGCAGGAGGAGCAGGAGGACGAGGATGAGCAGGAGGACGAGGAGGAGGAGGAGGAAGAGGAGGAGGAGGAGAAGGAGGAGGAAGCGGAAGAGGAGGAGGAGGAGGAGGAGGAGGAGCAGGATGAGGAGGGAGGGAGGGAGGGATGAGGGAGGGACGGAGGAGAGGGAGGAGGAGGAGGAGGAGGAGGAGGACGGGGAGGACGAGAAGGATGGGAAGGAGGAGGAGGAGGAGGAGGAGGAGGAGGAGGAGGAGGAGAAGGACGAGGAGGAGGAGGAGGAGGAGAAGGAGGAGGAGGACGAGGAGGAGGAATGCGAGGACGAGGAGGAGAAGGAGGATGAGGAGGGGGAGGAGGAGGAGAACAAGGAGGATGAACATTCCGAGGAGGAGGCGCAGGAGGAGGCAGAGGCGGAGGCGGAGGCGGAGGAGGAGGAGGAGGGGGAGGAGAAGGAGGAGGAGGAGGAGAAGGAGGAAGAGGAGGACGAGGATTCTGTTCGGTTCGGGGGGTCGTGGAGACGTGGAGACCTGGTCAAGCCAGGGCACTGAGGAGGAGGAAGAGGAGGAACGTCAATACCATGACTCGATGTTTGTAGATCTCCGCTAAAAACTCGGACGCGATTACTGCGCCTTCTTCCCCTTCCGTGAGACGTGCCCGACGAGATCTGAGACATCGGCTCCGTGGCGCTGGCGTTGCTCAACACTAACACCAGGGCCACCTCGCGCACTACAGTCTCTACTGACAAATAAGCATAGCAATATTCCTGATGATGTTACCGCGGTGAACAAGGAAGAAAGAAACTCGGGCTGGAAACCAAAAGTGCTGCTGCCGTGCAGTAGCACAAGCTGGCAGATAGAGCGCTCCACTTTGGATACGACGGTCCGAAGCTGCCACAGAAACGAGCGCGTCACCCAGAAGCAGTGCGCACATCTCCCGCGGGAGCTCGCTTCAGCAGACCCTCTGGCCCAGCCCAAGATCTGCAGCAGTGCCCTGTCGAGGGCAGCCGCGCCCAGTGGACCCGTATACTTGTCGAGAAAGGCCATCCCAGCCAGGACAACAGTTCGTTGAACCGTCGAATCGGAACTCGTGGGACGACTCTCGGATGTCCCCTGCAGCACCTGGTGAGCGATTTTTTAATATGGCATTTCGACATTGGGCGGAAGGGGGAGAGGGGGGGGTCTGGCTCCGGACCTCTGCATAGTGCGACTGTTTGGGAGTCCTCTGGGGGAGACTCCACCTGCTCGAAACAGGCGACCAAAAACAGCCAAGATCTACTCCATGGGGGGGGAGGGGGGGTGCGAGGGCCCGCGCCGTTCGGCAAAATAACGAATAACAAAACGACCACCTGCAGGCCGAGCAGCCGCACTGCCTGACAGCCAGCCCACGCCAGGACGAAGAGGGCGTCCCTGGAACACCTCGCGGGCCGCGGCTGGCGGCTCCTCGGCGCTGCTGGCCGATCGGGCCCGACCTCGGAGAGGAAGGCCAGAGCCATCGCCGCGAGCACGACGAGCTGGCTTAGAAGAAAGAACGCCATAAACATGGATTTTTGGCGCTCCGCGCGGATTTCTTGGATCTGCGCTGGACCCCAGGGGCGCGGCACCGGAGGCGCCGCCAGGGGGTGCCCAGCGCGGATGCAAGAAATCCGCGCGGAGCGCCAAACGTTTATGTTTGTGGCGTTTTTTTCTTCTTCGATGGTTAACAAGAGGGAGCAGCTTGTCCCCGCCCTTCAAGCTGCTTCGCAGAGCCAGGCTCGTTGCCATGTCCGTGAGCGCCTCGCCCAGCGTCCCGCTGAATATCCCGAGGCAGAGAAATGCCACAACGACTCTCGGCGGGACGCGGTCGGGCTCGAAGCTTGCTGCTGAATCTGGAGAAACGCCATCACTTGACTCATAGCTTGTGCCGTTCAACGCGTCGCCCGAGCCGTCCACACATTTGACGTGCGCTGTCCACAGCAAAACTGCCCCAAAGAGCTGAAATAGACTCGGAGTTAAGGCCAATGGAAAGGCCACCCAGGGAGAAGCCAAAAAGGGCACTCGCCCGTCGGGGCTCGTCACATCTTCGTCTACACCTGCACCATTAAACGACTCGGCTCCAATGGACACCTCTGTCGCGACAAATGGTTCACCACCCGAGCGTTACCTCAACCTCCAGCCCCCTCCTCACCCGCTTTCCTTCTCCCTCCCTCCTCTTCCCCTCCTCTTTCTGGCAGAGAGGGGGACATGTGAGGCGCTGAGGGGAAGCCACACAGCAGCGAGCCGCGCAGTCCTGAAGTCCTCCTCCTCCTCCTCCTCCTCCTCCTCCTCTTCCCCCCGCATGCGCCAAGGGCCCGGTGAGCACACCGGGATAGCCAGGGGTTAGCTGGGGAATCCAAAGTGGTCGGCGTCGGCGCCGCCAGTGTCGGCGGGGTAGAGGTTGAGCTGGGGACCAGGCCGCAGGACTGGCGGAGGGTGGGGCCCGGGCGCCCTGGCCTCCTGTGGGGCGGCGGCCCTGGTGGGTGGGTCTTGGGCGCGAACTGATGAGGGGGCGATAAGCAACTTGGGGGTGGGGGAAGAAAGGTGCGGCCCTGTAGGGGCTCTCAAAGACCCCTTTTCGGCAGCCCTCGCTGGCCCCCCACTTATCGCTCCCCCCCTCTTTATGCGCCCCCCCATGGGTCTGGCCACCCCTCCCCCCGTGCCGGGCCCCCCCACCCCCATCTGCATGGGGTCCCTAGGCCTCTCGCTTGATTCGCTGCCCGCACAAGGGGCGGGCTCGAAGCACGGGCTCCCTCGGACCTAACACCGACTGCCGCATGCACCGAGGGCGCGGCGGGTGGCGGCGTCGTGCGGCAGCCTCTCGGTCTGGTGCCACGGGGGCGTTCGCCTCGTCGTGTCGGCATGTGGTGGTTGATTTTTCAGCTGCGTGCGCGAGAATGTTTGCAGCACGTGGTGGCTGATTCTTTCAGCTAGGTGCGCGAGGATGTGTGTGGAAGGGCCAGCGCTCGACCATGGTAGGCCTACAAGTGAGGGCCCCAGACGGCCCTGACAGGTCCCTTCAAGACGGTAGAGGTAGGACACGAGGACACCTGTTTATTCAATTCCTTTTAAACATAATTTCTCCCTGTCGCACCCCGAGGCCAGTTTTTAGGGCGGGCTGGGCGTTTCGCCTGAGGCTTCCTCACCAGTTAGCTTCAAAAGTGACAACAATTTCATAGATGGAGGGCGGGCCGTTTTCAAAATGTGGCTCTTGCCTTAGCGCCGCGTGCACTCGTCTTAAACATTTACAAGAGCTCGACGGATTGAGGGCAATCCGTTTTCAAAACGTGGCTCTCGCCTTAGCGCCGCGCGCACTTGTCTTAAACATTGCCCGTTTTCATAAGGTGGCTCTCGCATTAAAGCCGCCCACATTCGCTTCAAACATTTACAAGAGCTTCACATATTCAGGGCAATTCCTTTTCAAAATGTGGCTCCCGCCTCAGCGCCGCGCACATGTGCTAATACACGTTGCAAGAGTTTCTTCGCGGATTCCCATGATCAAAATAGAAGAAATAGTGTTCCAGATATATTCAGGATTACGGGGGTGCAACTGTTACGTTCACTCGCGGTGTTGAAATCCCAAGAATGGCGTTCTGGCACGATTCAAAATCGTCTAAGCGCAACAGTCAGGTTGATCGGTGGCGTTGGACTCCCGAGAACAATGTTTTGACATGCTTCAGGGTCTTCGAACGGCTGTTTTCCAACGATGCAGCTCCTTCAATGGAATTGAACCGCTGTAGGAGCCTATGAAGAGGGAACTTGGAGGGAAGCTTTATTCGAACATCGGTGGTGACTCTTGGGTTTACACTGGTCCTCATTCCTCCTCCTCCTCCTCCTCCTCCTCCTCCTTCTCCTGCTCCTCCGCCTCCCCCTTCCCCTCCCCCTCCCTCTCGGTCCTCGTCCTTCTCCTCCTCCTCCTCCTCATCCTCTTCCCTCTGCACCCCTCTTCCCCTTCTTCCGCCTCCGTTTCCTCCTCCTCCTACCCCTCGTTCCGCACTCTCCCTCCTCTTCCTCGTCCTTCTGCCTTCTCCTCCTCCCTCCTCCTTCTCCTCTCCGTCCTCCTCCTCCTCTTTTTCCTTCTCAGCCTCCTCCTCATCTTCCTCCAGCTCCACCTTCGTCTTTTCCTTTTCCCCCTCCTCCTCTTTCTCCTCCTTATCCTCCTTCTTTCCACCTGCCCCTTTCCTCCCCCTCCTTGGGCAGTGGGTGCGGCAATACTTGGGCGGTGGGAATGAGCTGCTCAGCAGCAGAATGGCGACCGCGGTCGAGACAAGCCAGGCGGCGATCTTGTAGCGGGCTGGGCTGACCCCGTTCCTCAACGAGGGAAACGAACGAAGCGCGAAGGCGATGGACGAGGACGAGAGAGGAAGGATAATGAGGAGGGGAGAGAAAAGGAACTGGGGATGCAGGGTGGGACGGAATCGGATGCGCATGAGAAGGAGGAGGAGGAGGAAGAGGGGGAGGAGAAGGAGGAAGAGGAGGAGAATAATGAGGAGGAGGAGCAACAGGGGACGGAGACGGAGGAGGAGGAGGAGGAGGAATGGGGAAGAATGAGGAGGATGGGGAAAGGATGAGGTGACAAGCCAGAGGAAGAAGGAAGAGGATGAGGAAGCGGAGGGCCAGTGTAAACTCAGGGCGCGTCAACGATGTTGCAGTAACGCCTGCCTCCAAGTTCTCTCTTCACACCTCCATGCAACAGCTGATTCCGATTGCGGAACACTACCTGACTGGAGGACACGCGCCTGAGAATCCTCAATCGTGCCAGAACACCATTCCTGGGACGTCAACGCGTCGAGCCAACTTTAGTGTTGCATCCTTACATTCCGAACTTGTGCCTGCACGCCAATCATGTAACCTCAACACCGCGAATCAACGTGATTGTTGCGTCCTGATTGTCCTCATGTGCACCTGAACACCATTCGTGGGACTTGAACCATACAAACCCTTGGAACCGTTGCATACTTTCAGAACGAATGCGTGCGGCGTTGAAGCGAGAATCACACTTCGAAAAGGAGCCTGCTTCCATCATCGAAACTGCTGCACACTTCTCAAACGAACGTGCGTGGCGCTAAGGGGTCTCCTCTGCGGGTAGGAATGACCGACGTTGATCATTCTCCATCTCAGGCGAGTGCGACGGCACAAGGCGGTGCCCCGTTGCCGCGCCTGCAAGCTCTTCAATCACGTCACCCTCTCTCTCGGTCTCCACGAGTGCTGGGGACCTTCCCTCGAAGCGCTGCCCTTGTGCTGTCGATGACAGAGGGCTGTCCGAAGTCGAGCAAGGCGGGGAGCACACTCGGCGGGGGATTCGGGGTCATCTCTTGATGACTCTTCGCTGTTCCCATGGACTCTTCCGCTTTTGACGGGGTCCGAACACGATGGGATCATAACAATCGTCCTCGATTGGACCATCACGGCGTTGGTCAAAAGCTTGCGGATTGGCCTCTGTATTGCCACCTTCTGTCGCGTAGGGTGAGAATCCATCGTCGTCGAGACTTGGATTGGACCTTCTATCCCTTCATCGTCTCGAATTTCTTCAACGTGCGGATTGGGCGAACCGATCCCAACCGGGCTTCCGTCCAGAAGGTCAGTGCCATACGTTGTGACATGCGCCTGTGGTTCTGTCCATGCATCACCAGGATGCGCTGCCGCTCGACCATCGCTACTCTTTGTTAAAATCTTCGTCGTAGTCCTGTTTTTACTCGGCTCTCCTGGCACTTGTCGGAAAGCTGAAGACCCCCGTGATCAGTGCTCACGCCATCGCTGGCCCCCTCGTTCACTGTTTGGGATCAGTTAGGAACCACTTTTATCTTCCTCAATAATAGAACTCGGGCGGGGCTTGCCGACATTCGCTTCCTGGAGGGTCGTATTTGCGACGTCGTTCAAAATCTCGCAAGGCCTTGCGATTCCGCTGCCAGTCGCATTGCAGCTAAGATGAAAGCCGTCGTCTGGCACAAGGAATAAGATGTCACCATGCTGTCTTTCAATCCGCTCAGAGATTTCGGCTGATAACCTGTCTTCGGTTTGATGTTTTACATTCTCTGCGTAACACCCCGACCAAGGTTATATATATATATATATATATATATATATATTCTCAATTTCTTTCTGACGCAGAGGGTCTCTTCGAAAGGATTTGTGCATGCTATGTCCTTTCGTGTTATCGACGACATGACGGCGATCCCCTTTTTACTACCAACGCAGCACGGCCAGCTTTCCACAGTCAGGTTCACCTGTCACTTCCTTTGTGCAATATGTTATTGAGCCAAACGCCAGCAGCGGCGGGCGGGTGGGTAATACTGTGACGCAGGCAAAAGTGCATGTTATCGAGGTTTTGATCACCGCCCGCCCTCCATCCGTGAAGTTGTGGCAAACTTCAAGCCACAACATCATGAGTCGTGAGGGGGTCTCAGGCGGAACGCCCCACCCAACAAAAAAGTCGGAGGAAGCGACCCGGAGGCGTCATACAAGGAAAACAAATGGAAGAGGATCGCACGTAGCTTCACAGATGGCAGGGGATGAGGAGGATAAGGAGGGAGGTGGGCGGTGGACGGAGGAGGACGAGAGAGATGAGGAGCATGATAAGGACATTCATGAAGTGGACACTGGGGGTCCTCAAGGTCCAGGCGGTTCCGAGATGCTGCTGCGCAGGAACCTGCAGTGCCACGACAGCCAACTGCAACGGGAGCGCCACGTCTCGGTACTTCAACGTCGCGACACGAGTGGGATCAGGATCCGCATGCGGCCCTGACTGGGGCCACCAGGCGTGTGATACCTCTTTCCCTGCCCAAAGGCCAATCACCGGGCCCACTTCAATTTGAGGGGGGAGAGCTCACTTGCACCACCGAAATGAGGGTGAACAGAAGGAGGGGAAGGTGGGAGGAGAATAAGGAAGAAGGCGAGGCGAGGCTCGTCTTACTCTCCATCTCATCTTCCTCCTCCTCCGTCCAGAGTGGGGGAGGGGGTGCGGGGGCGAACTAGCCTGGGGGACTGGCTGGGTGCACAGATACAAGGGGTCGGCAGGTGCGACGTAAGCCTCGTGAACCAGAGTCGTACTTTTGCTCCTGAACCAGGCGAACCATTTCCAGCGGCAGAAGCGAGGCCAATCGAGGCACGTCGAACTCTTGAGGCAGCATCCCAAAAGCGAATAAAGCTTGGATGAGCTGGGCAGCAGATGAGAGCGCGAGCGTTGCCACAAAGAAACCTATATTATGATTCGCGCTTGTTCGTGATCTTGACGTCGCTGTACCGGGTGCAGTTGCCACACATTTCCTGTACAGCAGCCTCCCGAACAGCTCTGTGACAACAAAACCCAGCGAGCCAGCAGCTGCAACGACGATCTCAAATCCACCAGTGATAATCTGAGATTGCAACACCGCGTTTCTCAAAATCCACTCTGATTCCGCACGAGTCGCTAAAATGAGGGCGTTGAGCAAGTAGTAGTGAGGTAACAGGTACTGCAAATGGCCAGAGAATACCATGAGAGGTCCCACGTGCACAATGGAGAAATCTATCATATCTGGGATCCGTCAGAAATGCGACGCTGTATCCTAATCTAAGATCCGCCACCGCCACCGTGCCGGGAGGCACAGAGTGTAGTGTCCTCATGCCCATGCGAGTTGTCTGTATTGAGGATCGTAGATGCTATTGCTGTGCCCCAGATTTGGGTTTCTCCAGAAGTCGAAGGCGCTTCCAAGGCTTGGGCCGTGACTGTTCTCCATGGTTGGGAGTCCATAGTTCCCACGTGTCCTAGAATGGCCCCAAAGGGGCAGTCCTGGGGCTTTTGGGGGGCTCTTGGGCCCTCTTGAAGCCCTGGGGGCCGGACCAAGAAACCAAATCGTTGCAAGCACTCGTTCTTGGATGGTTTTCGAGTGCCCGCCTGTAGAGCCGCACCATGAGAGAGTCCAAGACAGTCCAAGAGACGCCCACGAGGGCCACCAGAGGGTTTCAAAAGAACATGGAGAGGCCTCAAAGGGGCCTTTGGGATCCTACTCCCCAAGATGGACCCCGAGACTGCCTCCTTTGAGCAGGGACCGACCGTCCCGGCATTCCTATAGTCTTACCACGAAATGTTCTTAGAATCCAAAAATGTTCTAAGAACAAAAGCAATGTTCTTAGAACATAAACCCGATGTGATAAAACAAGGGAGTCCCAACCAGAAATGTTCTAAGAACCTTTCGTTGGAACCACGAAAGGTTCTCAGAACATTGTTTGGTGGGGCTATAGGCGAGCCAGGACGCTTCGCCACTGCTGGACTCCTGGCCCCATGGGGAGGCCCCCGAGAGGCCCACGCGGAGGCCTCCGAGAGGCATCCCAAGAGACCCTACGGGGCACCCGTGGTCCACGACCCGGGCACGGTGGTGGGATGGGTCGAAGGCCACTCGACCCGCCGCCCCTGGATGAGGAGGAGGAGGAGCAGGAGGAGGAGCAGGAGAAGAGGAGGAGCAGGAGGAGGAGGAGGATGAGGAGAAGGAGGCGGAGGTGGAGGAGGAGAAGGAGGAGGCGGAGGATGAGCCGGAGGAGCAGGAGGAGCAGGAAGAGGAGGAGGAGGAGGAGCAGGAGGAGCAGGAGGAGGAGGAGGAGGAGGGCTTTGGGCTGTTTTGGCCCTTCCGAAAAATTCCCAACAAAGGTCTCGGCCGATCCCGCCACCGCGTCCAACACGACCGGCATCTGCACGACGCCCGCCTCGGAGGCGGCCAAAGATGTCCCAAGAGAGTCTCCAAGATGGCCACGAGATGGCCCAATGTGCCCCCAAGATCGGTGGTTCAAAGATGGGATCCTGAGAGATGGGGTCCTAAGGATAGGAAGGGGTACAAGGGTGAATTGACATTGTTTGAGGCACCTCGTCCTTAGGACCCCATCCCTCAGGACCCCATCTTTGAACCACCGACAAGACGCACCAAGGTGACTCCAAGCCGGCACAATCTGACTTCCGGACGGCCCAAAAGGCCCCCATGACGCCCCAAGTGGGCTCCAAGAGTACCTCCAGGAGGCAGATACATACCGTTGATCCCCATTCGATTTTTCAATGGCTTCGCGTTCTCGCCTTTTAGGGTTTCGGACAGCCGAAGGGGACCGCGGAGACCTCTCAGATGCCTCAAGACGGCCCCAGAGGGACCCCAAGACGGGCCCCAAAGAGGGCCCCGCAGATTTCCAAGACGGCCTTGAATCGCCCCAAGATGGCGCGAAGACGGCCCAGTGAGGCCCCCAAGACGGCCTCTGGAGGCCAAGAGGCTCCCCAGAGGCTCCCAGACGCACCCAAAGAGGCACAAGAAGACCCCCGAGAGGTCCCCCAGAGGCCCCCAGGAAGACCCCACAAGGCACCCAGGAGGCCCCTATAGAGCCCCTCAGAAGCCTCCTCTTCCTCCTCCTCCTCCTCCTCCACCATCCCTTTCCGTTGTAAGTAACTCCTCCCCGTCGCGCCCCTCAGACGTGTTTGTAGGGCGGGCCGGGCGTTTCGCCTAAGACTTCATCACCATTTATGATCCTGAAGCTGGAGAAGTCCAACAGTTTCAAGTTCGGCGGGGGCATCGCAGATCTCTCGCCTTCGCTCCGCGCGCATTCGCTTCATAAAAATTTGCAACCAGTTCAAGGATGGAGGACGTGCCGTTTTCAAAATGAAGCGCTCGCCGGAGCGCCGCGCGCATTCGTTTTCAACTTTTGCAGCAACTTCGGGGATGGAGGGCGGAACCGTTTCAAACTGGAACTCTCGCCTTCGCGTCGCGCGCACTCGTCTTAAAAGTTTGCGACAGGTGCAAGGATGGAGGGCGGGACGTTTTCAGCGGAGCTCCCGCCTTGGCGCCGCGCGCATCCGTCTCAGACGTTTGCAGCTCTTGGAAGGGTGGAGGGTGGCTCCTTCTCGAAATGGGGCTGTTGCTTTGGCGCCGCGCTAGCTCGTCCTGGATGTCCGAGGCAGCTGCAGGCATGGTGGGCGGCTCCTTCTCGACCCTGGGGGGCTTTCGCTTGGGACACCCCTGCACGTCGCGGCCAGCGGCCGGAGCAGGTGCAGCCGCTGCGCGGAGGGAGGCCGGCTCCTCTTCGAGCTCGGGCGTTCGCTCGAGACTTCGCTTGGGCACGTGGCGCAGCTGCACGGGGGGAGGGCGGCTCCTCTTCAGCATGGGGCTCTCGCTCGAGGCCTCCTCGGCGCTCGGGGCCAGAAGTGGAAGCTCGCGCAATGGTTGCACATCGTGGGGCGGTCCCGTGTCAACACGGGGGTCTCGCTGGATACCTCGTTGAGCTGCATGGACATGCCTTTGCGCACTACTCTTAAGCCAGGCCCGTCCCCCTACAGGCCGATTTCGAACGAAAAAAAAATAGTCAAACAATACCCCAAAGTGGTCAAAAATAGTCCAAAAATCGTCCCCATACATTTTTTGACTATTTTTGAAAATTCCTCCTGTAGATGGACGTGCCCGACTTAACACTACTCGCTGGAGGGATGAAAGGTTGCAAGGCGGCCAGTTCCTTCTCAAAACGGGGCTCTCCTCGCCTGAGTGGCAGGCTCAGAGAGGGTGCCGATCTCTCAAGGGGCCGCTCTTGAAGTGGAGCGGGAGAATTGCAGGGACTTGCGCGGAGGGGACTTGTGACGGGAGGGTTATGTAGCTCCCATCGTACTTAAAGACCACGTCCCAGAAATAATTTCGAGCACCCGGAAAAGTGTCGAAACAGTGTCGGACGAGTGTCTCCCAGGGCCCGACACGTGGAAACCCCCGAGTTTCGATACCTTTTTCTGGTGCTCGAAATTCTTTCTGGTGATCAAGGATAAAAGTAGGTTGGAACATCATAACGGGACGGTGTATGGCAGCATCGTTGATGAATCTTGGGTCTACTCTGGTCCTCCTCCTCCTCCTCTTCCTCCTCCCCGTCCTCCTTCTCTTCCTCCCTCGAGGGTTCTCCCCAAACGATTCCACAACGGCTGGGGGAACTGGGGGAACACATGGTCCAACGACTTGGTCGCACTTTTGTGGCCCAACGTGTGGCCACACCGGCATTCTTTGAAAGGCAGGAAGCGGCGGCGGTTCTCCGTAGGCGTTTCGATCCGCGGCCCCGTATCCTGCCGGAGGGTGCTTGGCATGCCGATTTCGTGATAACTATGTGTGGCCTTCCCAAGAGGTCCCCGGTGGTACCAGTGGGGTGTTCGGCCCGACCCGCCGGCCACCCGCAGGAACTGGACTCCGTCCGAGATGGCTGCAAGAGGGCCTCCAAGACGGCCAGGGTGGCTCCAGATGGCCTCCAACACGGCTTCGACGGTCTCGAAGTCAAAACAGATGACACTATACGATCTCCGCGACGGCCCCAAGATGGCCGAAGAGGCCCCCCCAGAGGCCCCCAACAGGGCCCCAAGACAGCCCAATAGACCTCCCAGACGGTCCTGAATTGCCCCAATAGGGCCCCAAGACGGTCCAGAGAGGCCCCTAGGCGGCCTCCGAAGACGTCAGACGGTCCAAGAGCGCCCTAAGGCGGCCCAAGAGGTCGACATAGGCACCGAATAAGCACCCAGAAGTTCCGAAGAGGACCTCAGGAAGCCCTCTGAAAGGCCCCATCGAGGCCTCCTCCGCCTCTTCCTTGTCCTCCTTCTCCTTCATCTCCTCTCCTTCCTCTCCTCCTCCTCCTCCTCCTCCTCCTCCTTCTCGTCCTCTCCCTCCTCCTCCTCCTCCTCCTCCTCCTCCTCCTCCTCCTCCTCCTCCTCCTCCTCCTCCTCCTCCTCCTTGAATGTCCCCCAAGGGTTTCCACAACGGCCTCGTTCCTGATGCTTCTCTTCCACCCCCGCCTCCGCCCATCCTTCTCCATTTCCTCCTTGTCGCTCTTCCGCGTAATGCGCCAATGTTCCCACCATGGTTTTTGCAACGGCTGGGTGAACGCGCGCTGTAAAAGCTTGCCCGAGGGGGCCGGCCGCAGGTTACCACACGCGCCCACACGTACACACGGAACGTGTCCCTCTGAGTTTCCCCATTTGCTTCAAAAGTGGTTGGGCATCACGTGCGTGGAACGATTGCCCAAACATCGTTCCCCAAGGTTCCCCCAGTGGTTTTAGTGGTTTCACCACCACCCGGGGGAACGCGCAGTCCACGAGCGTGGTCACACTTTCGCTCGACGCTCCAAGCAAAACGTTCCCAACAGGCAGGGTGCGGTGGTGACTCTCCGTGGGCGTCTTCGATTCGCATCCCCCGTAGCCTGCCAGAGGGGTGCTTGGCGTGCTGGACTTTTGAATGCCTCTGGGCTCCTCCAAGAAACCCTGGTGGCCTTCGGCCCGCCCCGCTGGCCCCGTGGAAGACAGTGACAGCACACACACACACTTTTTGCGTCGGCGGCTGAGCACAGTGACTGCGCTGGCGGATGGGGCAACTGCAGAGCATACAATTGCGAATTTCACAACAGGCGCACACAAACACACACACACACACACTCACACCAACACACACAAACACACACGAACAAACACACACACACAAACACACACACACACGCACTCACGCACGCACGCACGCATACACACACGCACACGCACACGCACACG